AAACCTATCCCACAGCCAGCTAGAACACACAAAAAGGATGAGGAACCTCACCTTACCCGTCGGAAATGGTGGCTAGAGGTGAGAGATCGAGCGACTGGAAGTTCCAGTCAGTTCCCGCCACGATTCTGCATTTTCCGGCGAGTCCCGAGGGTTTCCAGGGCTGTGCTGGCCGGGGAAGAGAGAGGGAGAGGCTGCGGTTCGGACGGGACCGGGCTCGGCGGACGGGGGGGGGGGGGGTACGGGGTGGTCGGAGGTGGCGGCTGTGTGGTGGTTTCCGATCGGTGAACAGTGACGGGAAGGGAAAAATCGCAAGGAGAAGAAGAAGACGCGGGAGGAAGAGAGAGAAAGTGAGGGGTAAATGTGAAAATCTGATTTTTTTACCCCAAACTGACTTCGAAATAATTACGGTTCTGCCACCGAACAAGTTTTGATCGCCAAAGCTTCGTTAAATCTCCGATTCAGGCCTACCGCCTGTCTACGGTTTCGTCTCGGTACCACCTACGCAACCACACCACTCACGGTCCCAAAATCTTCCCGGATAAGAAAGTGACCAAAATCACCCTTAACCCAGGAGTAATTTAATATTTTCCCTTAATTAAATTAAATAGGAAAATGAACGGAGTCGGGGTGTTACATTAGAGGTTTCGAATGTTTGAACACATGGGTAGAAGTGAAATAGCTCAATTAATGAGTTATGCTCTATTAATTGCTTCATGTTATTCAAGAGTGATGGTAAATTGTTGGAATTTTTTTTAATTTTTCTATTTTTAAAATGGAAATTAAAATTGAAAAGATATGATTATTCAAATTTGAAATAATGCATCTTTTAAGTAAAGAGATATATCACTCACCTTTTCAGATCAAGTCACATACTTTGGGAAATGGTTCTTCAACATTTATAAATAGACCAGTCCTGCACATGTTATAGAGGTAACTTTTGACATTGGCATATTCAAACACATGTAGTGCTTAGAAATTATACAAATTTATAAATAAACTCAATCCTAGACATGTATTTATAAAAAAACTCAAGCACTATTTAAACATAGAAACACACCCAAAATCAACCCCAAAGTCAACTTTTTGGGTGTGTTTATAAATGGGTTTTGAGTGTTTAATTATGGGTTTTGGGTGTGTTTATAAAGTGTTTTGGGTGTTGGGTTTTTTTATAATTTCAACTTCCATTTTGGGTGTTTTAGTGAAACTCCCTAGAAATTATTCTAATGTCTCATTGAATTCAAATGGGATAATATTCAACCATGAACACCGTAGTGGAGCGTAAATTATCTTTAAAACGGAATATTAAGCATTCGTCTGACCAAGTTTCAGATGTTTCGAATCTAATTTATATGTACATTTAGCATTGCTTTTGCTCATGTCATACGCATTAAATTTGAACATTTATTGAATGTTTATTTATGAATTTCTTTGTGTTTAAAATATAGCAATTAGACCCCTTATTTCCTACCGTAAATATATTGGATGAGCTGACTATGCGCACAACTTGTATATAAAAATTCATCAACTTAAGATCAGTTATGGCAAGCCCAACTGTATACAACTTAGCCCATTGTGGGCTGGCTGAATTGGACTTATGTACTGCTCACAGTTCACATAATTTGGGCTTTCTTGTTTTCGAATAATAGTAGGGCAACCTATTCACGATGAACAATTGCAATGCTGGCTCAGGAGCTCGGGGCCATCCAGTTGAGGAGAAGCACTTTCATGTAATGGGATTTTACTTTTTGCGTTCGTAATGACATACAAGATAACTTTTTTATATATTATAATATTATTAATCGAGAATAACAAAATAATATTATTTCTATTGCAAGTAAGTTTTTTAGCTAATTGTGAGAGAGAGAGGCCCGCGTATCTACAATCACACACAAGAAAAGTTGTGTTTTATGAGAATTTTTTTTTCAATAGTTACATAAATGATTTTCAATGGTTTGAATAAGCTATTCTACATTTAAAGTAATAGTTGATCATAAAACAATAAGTTTATACTTCAATAAATAAGTACTGAAATTGCCAACAAATTTTCTTAAGAGGGTTTCGGTTAATCGTAACAAAATAAAGTAATGAAAGGAAAAAGAGTCTAATTTACTCTCACACATGTCACTCACGAGCTAATTATGTCCAGAAAATGACAACATTATGGCATTGTCCTAAATTATTACAATTAATAAAGGAAAATCGTGACAATTGTAACTACAGGCGGTCAAAGTGCAACTTCACTAAAACTTTAGGGGCTAAAATTATAAGTCGGCATTTTAAGAAAAATTCACTTTTAACCATAACGAAACCTTAAATAGGAAAAAGCCACCAATCTTTCTCTATTTCCCTTTGCTCCCCACGAATGAGGAGCCAAATTGTCTGCTATTCGACCCCTTCGATCCCGAAATCTCATCCCACAGAAAAAACACAACACGCACTCTTCTTCTTCTTCCTCTTTGGTGGTTGTTGGCTGTGACGTTCCTTTCAGAGTCGGTCTAATAATAAGACAGGGCAATTCATTTTTTACAGAGTAAATGGAAGATTGATTCACAAGGCATCGAAAATTCAAAATCCTGTTGGTCAGATCAAATCAGAAGCTTGAGAATAGAAAGAAATACAAATTAGAAAGATTGGTTTGATGAGAAAAATAGCGAGGAAAATAATCGTAATATGATCGGAGCAGTGCAGTTAGGGGTGTTGGCTGCTTGCGTGGTGGTTTTGGTTCCGATGGGCATGGCCGGTTATCATCTCAGCCGCAACAAAATGCTATTCTTCAGCGGCGCTCTCTTCATCACTCTCGCCATTGGCGTCCACCTCACCCCTTACTTCCCTTCCGTCAACGACTTCGTCACCACCGTCTCCTCCGTCGTCGTTTTCGAGAACCGCCGTGAGTCCTGCCTCTCCCACCTCCACGACGTCGTTTGGGAGGTCACCCCCTCCCCAAATTTCAACCCCCTCGACAACAACACCGTCAATTACGACAAGTCGTGGGCTTGGACTTCTTCCTCTACCGTTTCTGCATGCGGGTTTCAGAAACTAGGGCGTTTTGACGCCTCTGATCTGCTCAACGGATCCTGGGTTGTGGTGGCTGGTGACTCTCAGGCCAGGCTTGTGGCGCTTTCGTTGTTGAGTCTGGTTTTGGATTCTGGGCCTCTGGAGAAGGTTAATAGAGATCTGTTTAAGAGGCACAGTGATTATCAGATTGTGGTGGGTGAGATTGGGATGCGATTGGATTTCATCTGGGCTCCTTACACTTTCAATTTGACCCATCTGGTCAACGGTTTCAAGCGAAATCGCAACTACCCAGATGTGTTGGTGATGGGTTCTGGGCTCTGGCACATGCTTCACTTCACCAACGCATCAGATTTTGGTGTTCAGTTACAATCACTAAGGAGTGCTTCTGTGTCTTTGTTGCCATTTTCGCCAGATACCGGCTCCGACAGGCCGGTAACCAGCTCCGACAGGCCGGTAACCAGCTCCGGCTCCGGCTCTGTTTCGGGCCGATCGCCCCACTTGTTTTGGATTGGCATGCCCACGTTGATAAACTCGATGTTGAATACAGAGGAGAAGAGAGAGAAGATGACTGATGCAATGCGTGGTGAGTATGATAAGGAGCTTCACAATAGTAAGATTTTGCGCAAAGCCGGTGGTCCCCTGTTGTTGCTGGACATTGAGTCCTTGAGTTGGAATTGCGGAGTTCGATGCACGGTTGATGGGATGCATTATGATATGCCTGTCTATGAAGCTGCACTTCATATCATGCTACATGCATTGCTCATCGAATCTCATCAGAAGCTTTGATTTGATTCTTTTGTTCTCTGTTTTCTCTTGGTATAATGTTCTGCTCCGGCTCGGTGGTTCGATTTCATACAGTGAGCTTTTGATTCTTGTGAGAGGTTGGTTGGTTTCTCTTCCACCTCCTCTTATCTTGCATCTACGGTTTCTGCCAGGTTTTCTCTCTTGGCCTCGGATTAACTCAGTATAGTTTATGTGAGATAGTAATTGAGATTGAAATTCATTTGTATCTGCTTTGCATTTATTTGAATATTGAATATACTTACATCCACTTGTATTATGTAGGCTATACTCGGACAATTCACATCTAATGTTGAAGTGAAACAATTCAAAAAGATCTACCTGGATAGGAAATACATGTCCTTTTTTCCATTCCGCCTTGTTGTAGATTACAGCAGACATGGAAGTTTTTGTTGATTCACTTCTGTTGTGTCTTCAGTGTTGTCTTTAAGTCTGGAGTGAGTTTTGTGGTTGTGCAGCATATTTTGAAGTAATACTTATGAACGTATGACCAATGCACATGAAGCTTGCAGCTTCTATTTGTTTGCAAGGTTTATGGACTTGGCATTCATAAAAGTACTGCGCTCTTTAGGAAAAGTTATTAAAGATGACAGAAATTTTATTACCATAAGGAAATTTTAAGAGATAGCTTAACAGTTATAATATTGCCTTGTATAGAACACTAGTGACACCTCCCAAAATATTACAACATGACTGAGCTAGCTGTGTTTGGAATCAAATTGCTTGCCTCCAGGTAAGACTGTGTGCTTGGAACTTATATATTATTGGATGGCAAAACCTCAGTCATACCTGTCTCTCTTTTTGGGTTGTATCGCAGCTGCACAGTGACAACCCAAGAGTTTGTTTTTTAATGGTTTTGTTGTGGTGTACGACCAGTGTTTAATATCTTTTATTTAGTCTCTATTGTAATGGGAAACCTAGAACTCGTAGTTGTTAATATCTTTTTAGCATTATTCTTTTATGCCTTTATTGTGATGGAAACCTGAAAGTAAAGTCGGTTGGGTACGAAAGACATAGAAGCCTAAGGTCATTACAGAACTCTATGTCTAGCAAGTATATGCTTCTCTCCAGGATTGTGTGGTGCAATATAACCCTAGGTGTCTAGGAGTGACTCCTAGAACCCTACTAGTGTGGTGCTAGTAGTTTCTACGTTTTTCTCATAGTTTTTTCCTTAAATTTCGGTGTTTTCTTACTCTAAAACAATTGGCAGCAAACATAATTCCCAAATTCAACAACTAGTAGGAATCTCAATTTACTTTTTATTAGTTAGATAATGCAAATGGCTCTTTCACTTCAACTTGAGATTCGAGGATGTTGGGGTGGACACACACTCTAGTTATTTTATGAAGAATTGAGAAGTTGTCCTATGTTGATGATATTATACTGGATGAATCTAGAAGGGATAGAATGAAGCATACACCAAGCCTCTTTCCAACTATACTATAAACAAATATTTTTATTGGATAATATGGCAACAATTTTGGAACTGACTACACAAAAATTAGAGAGAAAGCTATCAAGTGCTGAATATGATGGTCAAATCTTGCTGGTGCATCATGCATGTGAGTTAGGTGTTATATATTGGTAAATTTTGGTTAATGGCTTAAGATAGGAGTAGTTTAGGGTTTAGGGGCTGGAATTAAGATTTGAAATTATAGGTTAAAGCGGGAATTTCTACAGCGCAGAAAAACAGGGTTCTATGGCACTTTTGGAGGACACTTGAAGGGCAATGATTGTTGAGAATAGTTGGCTTAGGATTTTATTGGGTAAGAAAATGGAAAAAGAAATTAGAAAATAAAGGTTTTTCAGGACTGTTTTGTGGGTGTGGACAATGCATGTCAGAGAGAGAGAGAGAGTATAAAATTTTCATTAAGTTGAAACAAAACAGAGTATAACATCATGATGAATTTGTTGCCATATGCATCCATATATACAAAATATTATCTTTTTCATCCCATTTTTAGATTGTTCTAAACAGATTCATATACACCATGCGCAAACTGCAAAAGATTCTCATTTTTTAAGGACCATCATCAATATTGTATTTTTGGGATGGCGAAAAAGTAAATTCTAGAACCAGCATTGAACTTACTTCAACTCTCAATAATACAAACACAATAGGTATTGTAAGTACTTTGCTGAGTGTACTTTTTAGGTGCATCCTCTGCCCTTTATCTCTGGTTCTGTCGGTCTCGGCTGTCAAATTATTATTTTATAGCTTGGGTTCTGGTGTTATATGATGCAACTGAGAGATTTGGAAACAGCAATTTTTGTGGTTGTCTGGAAACAAGGTCTCATGATGCTTATGTGATGTTTGCTCATCACTTGATATATACATCAATTGTTTTCCAGGACTTACATAATAGAGTGGAGTGGTTTCTTTATGGAACACTTAGCAGGGTCCTTATAATTATATTCTTCTCGGTTGAATTATGCCCTTGTCATGCAACCAATTATAGTAATGTGATGATTTTTCTGATACTGATACAGTGATACTTAAGGTTGAATTCAAATCCATGTCCTTTCACTTTTTGGCTTTTAGGATTGGAATTTATGCTTAGAATGGGGAGATGCGTTTGGAACTTGGGTGAGTGGAATGAGTGAAGAAGCCTTTCTAAAGAAAATGTCTGGTGTGAACGGTTGGAGCTGAGGTGGGGAGTGGTAGGGCAATTTTCCACGTCCCTTGCACGAAGTGGTAGCACTCATGACAGGTCGTTTCATTTAATTCTGAACTTGCTAGCGGGTGTATTGTGAAGAGTTCGAGAATTGAGACCATAGGGACGAAAGTGGAAAATCCGATGAACTATAGAAACAGAAAGGGACTTTGTGCCCTTATTTAATGATGTTGTCCTCTTTGCAATCTGAAGAGTTTTGGTATGAAGTGCATTTCATAATTCATTCGTTTATAGAAGTATAAAATCCTTCCAAGTGGGCGACCGCAACTTCAATCTAAAGGTCCATTTAGACGGATTGGAAATGAGGAATTTGAATTTGAGTTCCCACTTTGGATTGTTTAATCGACCTTTTGAAAAATCAATGTATCAATCAAATGCTAGATAAGGGTAAAATATGTATTAAGATTTTAATGGTAAAATTTTGGAGACTTTTGTGTTTTTCCAAAGTCTCCCATTCTTTTTTTACTTTCTTTTTTTCAAATGGTAGCTTAGGCTGCCCCCTTAATGAACAGCAAACACTTTCCCAAACATGCCTAACAAAAACTACATGAAACTCAAAGAAAGTTATGCAAGAAGTTTGATAGCACGACCTACGAATTCAATCGAGGAAACCACCATCTTCAGAGCCAAAACCAAGCAATTTATCAGCACTTACGAATCAGACTTAAAAGCCCCGCCAGCACACTGCCATAATCAGAGCACCAATGTTCATCAATGGATATCCAAGCCCCCACAACAGTTCACCTTCGCCAAGCCCCTACCCGGTCTCACCTAAGGAATTACACCGCACTGCACACAACTAAGATTATTCTGCAGCATGTGCTGAGCATCAGCATACTCCTCAAGCATCCAAGTTCACTTTCTGGTGCCTTTTAATAACTAAGCTTTGATATATATCTTTGTACAACAATATCATCCGCAATCTAACTAATTCTCCACTGAAGGAAAACTAGAATAAATATGACAAAGGAAGATTAGGAAAATGGTTCCCTTAACGCTATTTAGTCAAAATGGTGCTCACGGAAACTGCTTCCCTTCAAATGTCTGTCCAAAGTTCCAAGCCTTGGGAGCTACGTTGTAAGATGTAACTGTGAGCCCATCGCTGCTAGTGACCTCGAAAGAAAGAGGTTGGTTTTTTAGATCAGCACTGACATGCCAGTTTTGGCCCCAATTTCGTCCCATTGGAAGCCAACCTGTTCTTGAACCTTTGATCTTCACAGAAACTATGTCTCCAACACCAGCGACATTGGTGATCAGCACTGAGATAAAGATATTAGAACCATCTATGGTGAAACGAATTCCTCCTTCCTTTCTACACTTGATCCTGTTTCAAACAGATTTAACAAGAATAACAGATCTCAGGATGAGAGAAGGCATTTGTCTGTTGTTAAGCATGCTTTAGGCTAATATCATATAAATGGGGGATGACACTGACAGCTCAGAGATTTGAGTATATATGCCAAGTATCACAACTGGAAGTGCTGATTCGACCATGCACAAAAAAATACACGGGTTTTGTCATAAAATGAACATCACACAGAATTTTAGACTCCTAGGAAGGACTGGACTAGACTAGCAAAATGCCTACATTTCATGTGTATTTAAGGCATAATATGGATATTGTTGTCTAATTTGGAGGGTGAAGGAGGACTATTCATAAGAGGTTGATGACTAAAACTTATCCCTCTAATCCCACCATTTTCAAGAGGATTGGGGGGATAAGTTTTAGTCATCAACCTCTTATAGATAGTCACCATTATTCCTCCAAGTTAAACAAAATATCCATATTATGCCTTGAATGCACGTGAGATGTAAGCATTTTGCTAGTCTAGTCTACTCTAGTCCTCCCTATCATATGTGTTCCCAACAGTAGACGTCAAGTGGTACGACTTATTCCAGTACTTAAATACAGAGTTAAGCTAGGTTTACAACTTGGTAAAGTGTTCTTTAGACTTGCACAAATCTTATTTTTCAAGATTTCTTCTTGTCTTCTCTTTTTTAGAACAAATCCAAAAATGGACCTTTCAATTCTGCAGTCTAGTATTTGCATGGTTCAAATAAATGAAACTCGTCTTGACAGTATTTCCTCATTTTTCTGCAACTAGCAGCCTATTTGAGTCATGTGAGGTAAGATGCCTCATTGGTGCCAAAGGTGAGAGAGATCCAAATACATTCCCATGTACCCAAATGCCACAAAATCCTGGACCAGTGTGTGTGTGAAGTTCTATCAGAGTTGCCTCAGCAAACCTTCTTTGTCATCTTTCTATTCCACGAAGATTCAGACCCCTTATTCATCTTCGTATCTCATTAGGGTTCGTATTCGATTAAAACTACCTTGGCATCCTATATAGGCCATTAGGGTTTGATCTGCTACCCGATTTGCCTCTCTAAAACTTGCTGTTGAATCCAAAAGTTACCATTTTCAGTTTCACTCGCCTCATATTTGCTTTTTTTCTCATAATAAATTCACATTTAAGACAATGTGATGCCAAAGTTCCGTTTTTATTTTTTATTTTCCGGAATTTATTAGTTTTGGTCCCAAATCTAAAACTAAGAAAGAGTAAAGTAGAAGGCAACAAAATTGGAAGCCCCAAAAACCAATTAATAAGCAAATAATAACCAACTTTACCTGCGATACTGGACGGGCATATTGCCAGCTTTCCAAATGGCGAT